TCCCCCTTCTAGGAGCTGATCTCCCCCTTCATTCCCAGAGCTCATCTCCCCTTTTCCTCAGACTTTAATATTCTCTTTCAAACCCATAATAGTCTTCCCACCACCCCCATTTCTTCTCCCTGCTATGATTAGCAGCAGGAAAGGGAATACAGGGTTGGGTCCTTCATTCCAGAAGTGAAAAGCAAATGGGGTTTAGGTGACCAAGTGGTCCTCTCATACGATTGAGTTTGCAGCAGCCAGGATCCCGAGGTGCTGGGGGGTTTTGCAGTCAGCATTGGGGAGCACCGGTGGCTTCTCCGTGTATTTTTGGGAGAGCTTTAAATATGTGTATTTGCGCAGTCTCTTTCCAGCTGGGTGGATAGTAATTGCATAGAGCAGCTTGGAATATCTTCCACTCCCTCCATAACTAAGGGGAGAGCCAGCCACACTCTTTCTGTTTGTTTGTTTTCCATTTAAATGCTCTAACCCTAGTCTGTAACCCTTTCCCGTTTCCTGTCTCTGCTAGCCACGTTGTTCCTCTTGATGTTGGATGTGGATCCAATTGTTGGTTGGTTTTTAAAAAATGCACATCTCCCTGATTTCTTACATTTGTTACCCAGAATAACTTCTAACACCCACCCCCTCCAATTGTGCCCTGACTTCCTCCTGCTGGGAGATTTGCATCTGCCTTGCACATGCTGGGCTGCATTTCCCCTGGCTCCAAATCAGCTTTGATGTCTAGAGGAGATACCTATATTTCTGGATGGGGGGGAAACCAAACAGTCGTAATAATAACAATAATATAGAATAAAAAAGCTGCCACGTCTGTTGAATCAAAGGCTGCTGTTTTAGCTATGCCAGAGGGGATTAATCTTGTTTATGAAATGGTTTGTGGATTCATTTTTGAGCTCCTGCAGTTCATGTAATTTAGGGATTTGGGTCTAATTTTTCAACATATCATGTTGCTGCTTCTCCAGTACCTCTTTTTTCTCCCTGTATTGCTCATTTAGAGAAGCGATTTTTGCGCAGGCTAGTTTCCTTTTACTCCCACCCCTTTTCCCCTGGGGACTGAGCTTTCCCAATGATTTTTTTTTGAGGGGGGGGGCGTACTTGCTACGATGCAGGCGTTTTATCTTGCTTACCTGGGTGATGTACATATGTAGTAATATGTTGCAGTTTAAAGAGGAATTTGCAGTACTACAGCAGCTTCTTTAAATCACAAATTTTGTCCTTGCATCTTGTAACTGACAATTTAATTTTTTAAAAAATATTTTTTTATTTACAGGCAACAAAACCAAAGAAAGCAACATCTGATCCTTCATTTCTACTCCCGTTTGGGATTTTATTTGCATCATCTTTGAGCCTATTGATTTAAAAAAAAAAAAAAAAAAAGGCAAACCAAACCCACACAAAACATGTTGTGCGGAAGGACTTCCACTCCCTGACTGTGCTATTAATGTTAATAATCAGGAAAAGCCTTTGGGGGCTGCATGATCTCTCGTCTGAAGCTTGCTGCTGCTGCTAAGGGTTTTGGTGCAGGGAAACAAAACTGCCTTTTCCGCCCGCTGATTTCCTAACATCTGCATGTTTCTGCTGCCGCACTCCGTCTCACACCCTCTTCCCATGGACTGATTTTTTTGTTATTGAGGGGTGGAAGGACAAGAAACCAGGGCATTTCTTTGGGAGAAACAAAATTGCATTTATTTGTTGCATTCTGGTGGATCTGTTCTGAGGTTAATATTTTTGGAAAGGAAAAACATGACGTCGCCAGCTAAATTCAAAAAGGATAAGGAGATCATAGCTGAATATGACACTCAGGTCAAAGGTAGGAATAATTTTACATCTGTCTATATTGTTACAGTTTTGACTTGCTAATGCAGGCGTTTGCACTAGATATTTGGGTGGGGACTGGGAGAAGAATTTGCAGTGCAATCTTGTAAGAGATTTGCAGTAATTTTCTTTTTCTCTTAAGGGTGGACTCCTGGGTATGTCCATGTTGTTTTAATGCATCCTAATGAGAGGAATTTTTTTCTGTATATGAAAACCCTTGAGTTTACGGAGTTGGGTTTGTTTTTCTGGGTGTTTTAAAATATGGTTAGATTTTAAATGTGATAGGCAGTGAATAGCTTTTCAATTTTTTTCCCTTAGGGAATCTTTAAAAACCTCTGTAGAAGTAGAAGAAGGTATATCACTTGCCAGTATTGTGGATCCTTGTTCACATCAACGCTTCATAGCTGTCTGTGCCAAAAAGCTATAATATTCAGGCTTCTACTCTCCATAAGTTCACACTTCATACAGCTCTGGCTTTAACACCCTACATTTGCTGTGCATATATGGACCACTGTTCTGAATGTAATTGGCATTTGCAATGACAATAACTTTATATATTCCAAAGGAGTGTGTTTTGCTGGAAATGAGCTTAAGGCTTGATCAGGACATCACATGCACTCAGTGATAAAGAAGGTGGTGAATGTTTGTAAAGCTTTTTCAAGATAATTTTTGTGGAAAATATTCTTTGTGCTTGTGACTTGGCAAATTGTTGCTGGTGGGAAATCAACTGCATTTAGCTTGTTGTCTAAAACTTGTTTGGTACATTGATAGTGTGTGTGCGTAGGGGAGGGGGAGATGGCCTTGGGGTTGAGGCAGAGCACTGGAAGTTGGAGATCTGGATATAGTTAGACTTGTGTTACTTGGCGCAAGTCACTTAGTCTCTGTGTAAAATAGTGACGTGTGAGCTGCTCCTCAAAGGAGTGCTGTGAAGCTTAATTCATTAGTGTAATGATTTAATGCTTTGAGATCCTTGGGTGGGAGGCAACAGAACTGCAAGGTATTTTATATATGTATATTTTTAATTTCCCCTCTACCTCCTCTTATTTAATGAACCATAATGTTAACTTGACAAGCTAGTCAATCTAGTGGAATGTCAATAGCCAGCTGGAGGTGCTGCTTCAAAAAGATGGACTCTGTCCTGTGCTCTAGTGGCTGGAAGTGAGATGTAGGTGGTTCGTAAAACTTAGTAAATTAAAATATGCATGGAGATGTGATTCCCGCCCCTTGTTTCAAAATGGGTCGGGGGAGGGTTCCCTCCTCCAGCTTTCTGAAACAATGCACAAGGCACTTTCTTAACCTAGAGCTCTTGAATATTGTAGCTCAGATCTATTGAATGATTGGTCTGAGAAGGATTTAGAGTAGTAATAATAAAAAAAGCTTAAGGTTTATTTAGCCAGCCTGCCATCATATATTCTTTGGCTGTGATCTCATCAGCTCTTGCACCTGAAATTGGATCAGCTGTGGTCAGTATTGGAATGGAAGCTCTGTAGGAAAATGCCAAGGAGCAGTAGGAAGTACTATTACTGGTTCAGGAAATGGCATTGTCTCTCTATAGAACCAGGGCTCCAGCACAGTGATAAGGGGCACTGAACTGTTTGAGACTAAAATCCAAGGGTCTGAGCATTTTGTAGTTATTAAAAATACAGTTGTCCTAGTGTAGCAATAACTATCATGTTAATTGTGGTGTCTTGGTCAATTTCCAAATCTAGTTAATTACATGGTGCCTCTAAATTGCCCCAGTAGTTACATATGGAGGTTGATCTTCTTGTTTACTCTCCTTCTGTTAAGTAGTGTTGCTAAAGGTATTTTACCCCTGAGGTGGCTGCAGCAGTGGTAGTTGAAATGAATCACATTCGTCATACTTGGATGCTGTATAAACTGCAAGGTATTGTCTGTCTTGCTCTGATATGAGAAAATTCCTGTATCTTTGCTGGCATTTGAAAGTTTAACACATTTTTAGCTGCATTCCACACTGGGATGATGTAAGGCAGCTGTGTTTTGAGACATCACTTAAAATCCTTAATCCACAAACAATGAGCTTGTGTGCATGTTCTCTAACCTAAAAGTTGCTGCTAATCCCTAAATTTGGTTTGAAAAATTCATTATCTATTTGGAGTTGGTTAACAAAAGACAATATTAAGAAGGGCATCAGTTGGTGATTAATAAGGTCATAATTACAGCCCTATGGTTGA